ATGAGGATGACGGACGTCCCAGTACGGGACATACAAGTGTCGGCCAAGGAAGCGGAGATGAATACTAAAACCCATTACCCACGCCGGCCTGCACCATAATTATCCCCCACCAACAACATTTGATCATCTATGTCCTATCTTATTTCTGTCACTACCCTGCGTTTTTTTGAACACCCTGGCCACCCAACGAACGACCTGGATACCTTTCGCACATAATCTGCCGCTGTCGATATATTCCCTTCATCTATTCGTAATGCACCGCCGTTCTACCTTACAGTCGTAAAATTTGCTGCATATATTTTTGTCTATATTTATCCTCCGCGTACACTACGTTATATTGCTCTGATCATTGCATGCATTATCTTTCCCACTTATTCAAATGTATATTATACTGACATATACTTTACCTACCTCCTTCGTTTTCACAAGACGAATTACTTGTCTTTATCTTGATGTAGCCCGGATGACGTGTACCACAAACTACCAGGATCCCGGAATATAACTATGCTTCTTTTGTGACATTGGTTCTTCAACATTCTTCGATTGTAGATCATCGAATGTGGCCTCGAATATCGTGAAACAATCCGAGGATGCCGTCAAAAAGAAGAATCCGTTTGTTTTGACACATTTCCTGAAGGGTCCTAAGGATGTTGATCCAAATCATTTGAATTGCCTTATCCTGATTAATCGCTTCACAGTCGATCCCAAATAAACAGGGCTTGATACGTACATGCCACGCGTCGATGTATTTCATCATCGAAGAGCCGAAAACAGCTGGCGAAGCACAGAGTTGACAAACATACATATTCTAGGGGCTTCGATCTTTTTTCTCACAATGATGACAGTGTTTGTTACAAAGAACAAAGTCATGCCACTGTCAACTCGTCACCTGGCTCACTTCCCTGTGAGAGTTTGGAACCTTATTGTGTATTTCGGCTTGCAGTTATTTTCGTTGGTCCTGTCCACTCATCAACCTCAAGGTGAGTCTTTGTTCCCCTCAAGATGCTGGATTTCCACGCCGGAGTAAAAAAAAAAAAAGAAAAAACCTCGGTTCAGTGGAGCCCTCTGTTACTTCTATGAAACATGATACTCGAGATATATTAGGGCTTGCGATGGGAACGAATAAGCGTCCATGATTGGTGGCGCTTTTGTGGAACCGAAGCGGAGCAACGGAGCGATGTTTCCTGCGACAGGGGTCCTGGAATATAGGATTTCCGAAGAAAAAAGTTGAAACCGCTGAGGTGAACAGGGAATTTCCCCGGGTCGAGGAGGTGCGTCCAGTGCCCGACCCGAATAGCAGAGGCGAGTAAGGTGTTCTTGATGTTTATCGAAGTTCCCGGTGACCCACGAAAGAACACGGAGTCACGGACATGCCTTAGTACACCGAGATCAAAAGCAACAATTGGAAAACTCGTGATAGAAAATTACTTCCCCTAAAACTAGACGGGTTGATGGCAATGGGCATTGGGTGGTTCCATGTTGTGCTACGAGCGCTGATCATGTCACAGGGCATTCCTCTTTGCCGGGAATGGGATTAACTTGAGGACGTAGATTTCCAGTTGATGTCCCCGAAAATCCGCATGGGTAGTGGCAGGATCTGTTATCCCATTTGTCGGTGTACCAACTCGGTCCGTCACTACGCGGACACCCTACCCATTGATGACCGAGTAGCAATACGGCAGTGGAGTCATTCAAATGGCTTTCCAAGAGTGTTGAATCGGCAAAATCGAGATATTTCGGGGAACCAACCCGAAGACATTCTGAACAAAACGAAACGTTTGTTAGACTAGAGGTATACTGACGATAATGATCTGCGCGGAAGTTATGGACCAGTGAAAGAGGACAACGAGAAACGCCAATCAACATTGGGCAACTTGAAGAGCACAGGTATTATTACATAATAGCACCAACGAAAGGAGATATTCACGTGTACTGTCAGCCCTATGACGCCAGTAGCATTGACTGCGCAAGTGCCCCATTCTTGTTGTCGAATTCCATCTGCATCGACATCCAAAACATAGCACATCTTACTTCTCCCCCCCCTTTAAGGTATATATCGATTCCAGCTCATTGACTCCAAACATCTCACAATCACCAACCATCACCGCCCAGCGCCAACACAGCCACTATCAACTTCGCCTATCAACTTATCAAGATGCCCACCTTTGCCGAGATCCCTGTTGAAGTGTTTATCGACAACTTTCTGCCAAATTTACCCGTGGCTACCCTATTGCGCCTTACATGTACCAATAAGGTACACCTGCAACATTATTCCAGAAAAAATAGGTATTTTGACTAATATTGGCGTAGTTCTTTGCGGAGGTCTGCTCAGATGACACGTTTTGGAAACGAAAACTCAAAAGAGATTTCAACTTCTCTGGCACCGGGACAGCCCGCATGAGCGGCTGGAAATTCATCTATCGTGGTTTATTCAACCCTCGAGGTAAATACTAACTGTTTGATGTATTTCCACCTCAATAAACTGAAACCTCTCCAATCCAAGTTTATGTTTGGGGGTCTGTTTTTCAATGTGGACGAATACCGTATCTCTGATGCTTAGTTGCAGCGAGAAATCTAACGGGAGGCTGGGCTTGCAAAGATTCCCAAAAACAGTTTTACATGACGTTCCGTTTCCAACACGGCTTCGTGTCCCTAACGCTCGGATAGTAAGTCTCGCCGCAGGTGGAATGTAAGTATGCGATTGAATATATTTTTGGCCTCTTTAAACTATCCCTATAGGTCGTTTTATGCATTAGATTCCGAGGGAAACATCTATGTTTGGGGTGAACTGTTTGGATGTTTCTATGGCTAATAATGCTAACTTCAAATTCGTTTTCTTTACCACAGGCGCAATGGATGGTTCTATATATGCTCTGAACAGCGATGGCTTTTCAGAAGCAGGAAAATGTGCTAATACGCCTCTCAGACTACGAATGCCATCCCCAACACAAAGCATTAGGTGGGCATGATAAGCTGATACCGGTAAAATTCTCACCCTCCACCCTAGTTGTGGTCGATTGCATGCTTCATCTTTGGATTCGCACAACCGTGTCTGGACATTCTTGAGCTGGGGACGTCCATTTTGGTTATCCTCCCAACTCCTCACCGAAACCTCGTCGAAGCCAATTCAGGTTGAGTGCGGGTGGGGATTCTCCTGTATACTTACCCAATCAGGCGACGTTTTGGTCTGGTGGCCCTTCTCTGGGAGTATGAAAAATCACATCCAGAGAGCGAACGAGCACATGGATTCACAGGGTGATAAAAAGGTCAATCAAGATCCCGACGACGTGATACCTTGCGCGACCTGGGACCTGGATATTGACCCCGTTCAACTACCTTCTATCCCCTCTCTTCCGGCCCTCAATGTCGGGGCTTTTGATGAGGATAAACCAACACGACTTGTTAAACTTGCAGGGCTCGATTGTCATATCATAGGACTCACAAATAAAGGCCACGTCTTAAAGTTTGGTTCTCTTGACGACGAGTTGAGTGCCTCCCGGGGAAATTGGGAATATGTGGGATTTGTGATTCATTGATTGTTTGAATATTGTAATGACCCTTGTTTCCAGCTACCCGAATACAGCGAAATCTATAAAGTTAGCCAACATCCGGTATTTTCTCAATCAGGCATTGAACCTCCCAAGACTCTGCACGTCACGCACGTACGTTTTTTAAAACCAAGTCTGCGGCTAAAATTATGACCCATGGTCAGATTTCGGCCAACTTCTTGAACTTCACTGCATATTCTGCAGGCGATAATTCCGTTGTTTTGATGGGAAGTACTGATACTAATCCGAGATCTCAACCGAAGATTATCCCAGAACTACAAAACAAGGATGTCATTTCTGTAGATATCGGAGACTACCATAACATTGCATTGACATCAAAAGGGAAAGTCTTGACATGGGGTGCATATTCCGCTGGTGCTTTAGGTCTTGGAGATCCTACCACTCTCCCACCAGGCACACCAGGGGCTTTTCGGACTGAAGAACGTAGACTATTAGCTATCGACCGTGAACGAGGCGAGCCACCCGCTGTTGAAGTACCTACTCAGGTTAGGTTCGATCATGGACGGAAACTACCAAAAGAAAGGTTTTGTTTCGCAATTGCCGCCGCTGGTTGGCACACTGGGGCCCTTGTTATTGATCTCGAGGTAGAACAGGAGTGTTTACGCTCTATTCCACGGCAACTGACTTGTTTATCAGCCTGACGCTATCGATGAAACTGACGAGGAAGCGGAACTGGAAGTTCAAGAAGCTCGGGGCCCTTCTCGAGGTTCAAGGTTCCCAATGGATGCACCTGGACAGACACCCCCAATCATACCATTTCCAGGAATATTTCGTATGGGGCATGCCGGTAGGGGTCGTGGTGGTGGTTTTGGCGGTTTCAGCGATTCGAATGAATAGGTGCAATCTTGAGGGCCAAATTAATTATGATTAATTACAACGACATATAGGTATATACATATCCTCTTTTAAGGAAGACTTCTCACTCCCACTGCTCTCCCTTTTTTTTTTTTGGATTACCTCGTCTCTTGGAGTGTTTACGTCTCCGAGAAGCGGGTTATCATTGCATTTCCCTTGCGGAATTCCATTTTATGGCCTGCTTGACATTTGAGTCTCCATACCGGAAATATTTTGGTGATAGTTAATTCTTCGATCTAACTGGGAGGGACCCGAACCGTGTGATCATGAACTTAATAGAGTGCTACTTTTTTTTTCGAAACGAAAGGAACCGAAATGGTAAAGTAATGGGACGTACGGTATCAGAGCGCTTTCAAACTCCCATTACTTCTTTAGCGGGTGGGCTTGGGGCTGGCTCTCGACTTCCGAAATAGTCATGTTACCTACTTGGCCAAAAAAGAAACGGATCAGATATACGGTCTAAGGCCGCAAGCCGGGCAAGCTTCTGAAATAAAGTACCGAGCTACGCAGCACCAGCACGCTCTGAGTGTTATTGTGAATTATGAGTTCCTTTAAGCTTGTGAATGAAGGAAAAAAGGGCCTGACTGGGAATTGAACCCAGGACCTCCTCGAAATTAACCCTAACAAGGAATCATACTACTAGACCATCAGGCCATAAATAGAAATCTTTAGCATGCAACATGTAAAGGCTTTACCAACAATTTGCTGCATCACCTCCCATAAGTAGTCATAATTTATATGTGGTCTAAATTGAAATTTCCAGAGTAGATTGTAGCCTTGATCCAGCAAAGCAAGATTTTGACATTGTGCTTGATTATATCCTTGGCAACTCATAAGAAAGGTACAGTTGTGATAGAATGAATAAAAGGTTACATTCTACAAGATGAAAAAAAGCCAAAATTACTATACATGACTAGCTGTTTATTCCCAAGATGGTATATTGAGGATTACCACCTGCAGCTTATGATTTTATGGCCTGATGGTCTAGTAGTATGATTCCTTGTTAGGGTTAATTTTGAGGAGGTCCTGGGTTCAATTCCCAGTCAGGCCCTTTTTTTTGGATACACTTACCAATACCAAAGCCAGTAAGAGGACTTGGGAAATACTGTGTCCCCATTGGATCATGAAATTCAGCTGTTTGGGTGTGGAAATATTATTTCTTGGTATAAATGGCTGAATCAAAGGGGTATGAATTGTGGCTGACATTCCAGCCCACATATTTCAGCCATCCAATAAATGAAAAAAGGTATCAAAATTTCCCTCCATTAATTGGATGAAATTTCATTTGATAAAGGAGTGAAGTTAGTGGCCTGATTTTCATCCCCTATATTTTAGCTAGATGAAAATATTATTATTATTAAGTCTGGCTTATTGTTTTTTTTTTCTTTCCCTTTTTAAAAATATTAATTATAAGTGGGTAATACAACCTATTCTTGTAAAAGGAATGTCCATCCAATGTCCATCCAATGTACACTCATGCCCACCTCCAATTGCATCCTGTGCATTCAGCACACAGCACAGCCACCCATCATCCCAGATCACACTTAGTGCACAACCCATGTGACACTTATTATTATTTTCATTGTATAACCCTGAATGACTGGCACAATAGACCACATGTAGACCATTGTATTTACAAGTATATAGGCACAACACCTCAGCAGGGAATCCTCAGATTATTTTCTTAGGATTTCCTTTGCTAGGTGAGTAGATAGTATCACCTGTAGGAATACACAAGCTTAGGATTCCCTTGCTAGTGACCCATCACACTCAGTAAAGAAATAAGTCAAAACAAGTCATGAAAAAGTCAAATATAACAACATAAAGTCCAATAAAAGTCATGTGCATATGACTAAATACAATTACATCAGCTATGTTAGCTAACTTCTCAATTATTTTCTTCAAGTCTGAAGATGCTTACTAATATACTTATTAATAATCAGAGTACCATTATTTTTTATTTTCTCAAATGATATACCATTTGTTATGATTATTGAAAGGTAACTGGAAGCCATAGTCTTACAAGTACATTGTATTCTAAGTTAAGCTAGTCTTCCACATACCTTGGCTAGTTCTTAGAGCTTACTGATGTTAGCAAGAAGGTTGAATAAACAATAAGTATTAGTTGTATGTAGTACAAGCTTATATAGTAGTGGGATGGTGAGCATGGACCATGTAAGTAGTGTGAATGGACCATCAGAGTCCCAACTTGGTGTCGTGACTAGGAGCAATTTTAACAATGATAACCTAACAGGCTTGTAAAAATTTGTCAAACTAGATTTGAATACACAAAGGCATGAACATTATGTAATATAATTAGTATTCATGACTATTGGGCAAGACCAGAATTCCTAGTTGGGAAATGACTAACCCAAAGTCCATAATTGTTGGTCATGTGATTGGAATCACATGTCACAGTCACAATACTGTTGCCATGCCACTTTGTTGAATGTCTTTATCCATCAATGACACCTCAACAATACCCACCAAATTGCCAACACCAACACCCCTAATACAAACACACTACCAACAATGATGCCAATGCAACCCCTCAAGCAACAGCCTGGCCCTCCTCCCATCAATTGAGGGATGTGAGGCCAGTAGGACAACAAGGGGATGGCAGACAAAAGGGGGGAGGCCTGTGAGGTACATCCCTAATAGCCCCCCCATGTACCACCACTAATGCTTTACCAATAACACATCACAGCCAGCAAGGATGAGCAGTACACCCCCAGGAGTGATGAGGTACCACCTACAACACCTGTTGCACCACCAACCACCACACCACTTGCCCACTCACTGTCAGCAATGCAACAATCCTGTTACAGCTGTTGGGCTTTATCCTCTGGATCAAGATCAAGGGTCAGTTCGATAAGACTGTCAATGATGAAGTATGATGTCTATAGACTTCCTGATATAAAGGACAAGTCTGTCTCTGGGTTCTAAGATGCACTACCCCCTTCTAAGGCAAGTAGGATCAAGCTGCACGTCAAAATGTAGAGAATAAGGTATATTCAGCTAGGTCAAGCTGAGGAGTATCTACTACATTGCAAAGTATATATATGAGTCTGAGAGAAGCATGATGAGTAATGCTTTGGCGAGGGATAAGTGCCATTGGTGGTTATAAATGTGGCGCTGAGTAATAATGGGAAAGATAGATGTAATAATAGAATGATGGGAACGGAAAAGAAGATAAGGGGATAAAGGAAGAAAAGATAGTCCAAAGGTTAGATCATATGAGATAAGATGATGATAAGTAAAGGAAAAAGGATAACTAGAAAGACGTAGTCCAAAAGAAGAAACTGTAACAAATCCAGTTATATATACTTTGAACAAATGTATACAGTCACTGCAGAGAAAAAGAGAGAGGAGATGGAATAGAGAGTAATCTGTCTTTATTGCAGAGAATAGATGAGATTGAAACTAAAGAGCTATCTACTAGAGTAGGGGGTATATATAATATGTACCCAGAGTAGATCAAACACATATACAAGTAGTACCAGAGTAAGTAATAATAGAATTCCAAGTAACACAGCCAGTATTTAACACAGCCATATTCCTAATACAGGGACTCTAGGTATTCCTAATACAAGGTTCCTACATCAATCCAGTGTATAGATCAATAGATAAATATAGCCACAAGACAAGATAAGATAAGAAAGATAAAGGTAAAAGATAAGAAAAAAGAGAGAAAATATGATTTCATGACACTCACTCACAAACAGAACAGCAGGCAGGACAGTAAAAGGGGGACCCCATTGAGGGGGAGGCCCACCAGATATGTGCACATCCACCTCACACCATCACTAATCCCAAAACCAAAAACTTGGTATGTTTTTTTTTTCACTTTGAATCCCCTTTGCTAATCCAGAGCCTTAAGACCTCACTAGTGCTATTCTCATGTCAATTAAAATTAGGGGGAAAGGGGACTACATTACAATAGTATTTAGAGTAGAGTACACCTATAATCCAATAGAATTCACTTTGACTTTACCTTGACTTTTGTGTGATGAAAATTTGACTTCACTGACTATTTGTGAAATATTTAGTCATCTAATAGTCAAACATAAGGCAGGTGAAAGTCATAAAAAAGCCATGCAAAAGTCAACAAATCTCAAAAAATATAATTGACTATTACACAACTATTACATGGCTAAAAGAAAAAGATAAAAGTTGGTGGAAACAATATTTTAGTCAAACTTGATATTCATGTGGCTTTTTTTTATTACTGAGCATCACATCAGTAATCTGTTTAACTTATTACTTACCTGCTCACACAGGAGACATAGGGAACAATAAACAAAGTAAACATACAAGAAGAACCCCCCAAAAAAACAACATATTTTAGTCTAGGTATTGTACTGAGGAAATGAGTGAAGAAATTAGTCATTGTTTCAACCTTTTTATTACTCTTCACCTGATGTAAAATAAGTAATATTAATGAAGACAAAAGCTAGCCTTATTAACAAAAAAAACACTTGTTTTCTCTTGGGGATTAGTCATTTTATTAACAGAGAAAATGCTTGTTTTATTTGTCAATAAGATGGCTTTTCCTTTGGGGATTGGCTTGTGGAAATGGAAGGAGAAATATCATATTTAAACATTATATTTGCTAAGTTTTGCTTTTATTAATATCACATATTTTACACCAGATTAAATAGTAATAAAAGAGGCAAACCTTTTTGCTCATTTCCTCAGTACAATACCTAAACTAAAATATGTTGTTTTTTTGGGGTTCCTTCTTGTATATTTACCTTGTTCATCCACAAACCTTGGGGCTGTCTATAGTAACTGTGGTAGTACTATGATAGGCTCCATAGTGTCCCATAGTAGTCATAGTAGCCATAGACACTGTAGAGAATGCCTTGTTGCTGTACAGGGCTACCATAGCTCTATCATAGTGCTGCCATAGTACCATCATCACTATAGCTCTATGGGTAGCTATGTTCATCTGTGGTTTGGTTATATAATGCATATTATGTAGGTGACTTTATTTTACTATTATCAGGTATATGTAGCATTTGAAACCTAATGTATTTGACACTAATTACACAAAAACTGAATATGCCTGAAGTACACTACCTATAACAAGATAATCTCAAACACCCCATTCCACCACAACCAACCCTCTACCCCCCTTCCATCTGACACATGCTGCAGAAATGGATCAACTGTAAGGAGGTTTAAATTAGAGGAACTTACCATATGCACAACTGGATAAGCACAAAATGCATCATGTCCTAAGATAGGCATACATAGGTACGTCAGATTTTTAGCAAAGCCAGAAATGCCAAGAGCAAGAGAGGGGGGACATACTATTCTATGGTGACCACATACAGCCTATATTTCTCAAAGTAAGCCATACCCCACAGCCTTGATGTCCATGTCCATGTTGTGAAAAATCCTGCAGTCTGTAACTAGGTGAAGCCTATAGAAACTGTGCTAGTGGGCTGGATAACAGGCCATCTGGTTTTTGGTGGGTTTGTCAAGAGTACATCAAGTTAGTGTGACTTGGTAGTGGTCAGAGGGAGGAATGAATACAAAGTTCAAAATCAGAATCCACCAGCTCATAAGAACTTTAACATGTGATACACAGTGGTGGCAAACAGATCATTCTAGTAGGGGAGGGCAATCCCCAGTTATTTTTAATTTGT